CCCCCCCCCAAAGTTCTCTCTGAATCCTTTATATATATAGCCATATATAAGCCAAATGTTATATTGAGAAGTGATGAATATTTGAGAAGTAAAGAAGTGATTCTAGCCCTTCATAATGTCAAGATCGAATTTGACTAATCAAAAATTGCAAAAATAGAGGGGGTTAATTTCGTAACTTTTACAAATAGTCAACAAATTCATATATGAACCCGTGCAATTAACATATTAACTATTTTAACCGATTCACATGTGAACTTATATGATTCACATATGAACTAATTAACTGATTCATATATGAACCTTTGTTATTCACATATAAACTAATTAATTGATTCATATGTGAACACGTTAATTAGTTCACATGTGAACTATCTAACTAATTCATATATGAACCGAACTAATTAACTGATTCATATGTGAATCAGTTAAATAGTTCACATGTGAATCACATGGGTTCACATATGAAGCCGTTAACCACCAATTTTATTTCGTATTCACACGTATGACAAGCATGGTATAAAGACTCGGGAAAGCCAATCGCTACATAATCAACAGACATCCCGAGTACTCTTGACTTCTTGACGTAAACAAATACCGAAACACAAAGCCAGTAATTGTAATAGATATAGTTCGAAATCGGTTAATTTGTACACCAAGAAACAAGACATAAACAGAGGTATGAGAATGGTGATGTGGTACATACAAAGTTTTCTAGTCAAGCTTCACATATGAATAGAGAAGGGCATCCCTTGTCAATATCATGTTCATCAGGAAGTAAATCTGCATACAAACCAAAGATAACATTGTTTTGACCTTCTTATAATGTTTTTTTTTTTTAATTTCAACTTTATATGTAAAATGACTTTCTTGTCCTAAAATAAGTGTCTAATTTCAAAAATAGATAACTAAATTCTTAAATCTACCCTTAATTAATTTACAGATATTTTAAAATTTTGTGAAGATAGATAAATCAATTAATGATATGTTTGGCAAACTAACTGATAAACCAGCTGCAGGCTGATTAAAAAATCATGTTTGACAAAACTAACTTATGAACATGTAAAATGACCAAGGCTATGTTTGGCAGACTAGCTGATAAGCTATTAACTAGCTGATGAACAAATTATGTTTGACAAAACTAGCTGACGAGTATGTAAAATGACCAAAAATGGTATCTTGAAAAATTAATCAATTATAATATTTCAAATTATAATTAGAACCAATCTCTAATAATATAATATATTAACTATTAAAAGCAAGATGTT